GCCGAAAGGGATGTAATGGAAGCGGCCGGATGCGCCCCGCGCCTCCTCGCCCGAGGCACCGAAGCGCTCGGGATCAAACCCCTCGGGCGGGCTGCGGTACACCGCGGCCGTCTCGTGCGTGTCCCGGATGCTATACATCACGCTCCAGCCCTTGGGGATCTGGTAGCCCTGCGGGGAGATGAGACCTGCCTGACTACGAGGCACCAGGGAACCGGGCCTGAACCGACCCTCCACCCCGGTGCATCACACAGAATTCTCAAAACTAGCAGGAACTTGGTGCTAGCCCAGAAGCTAGGAGACCCCTCTGTGTTCCAATCGCAGGTCCTTCTCTGGTGACCTTGGGCTAGCTTTTCAATCTCTCTGAGTCTCAATTTCTTAATTGTAAAATAAGAACAAAAATGCCCATTTTGTTGTGAGGATAAAATAAACGGGTCTGGCATATATGTTCGTGGTCAGTAAAAGTGATGTTATGTCAAAGTGTTATGTTTCAATGTTTTGTTTTTGTTTTTTCGTTTTTCTTCTGACATTAGATCAGGAAACCTAAATTCTAGTCCTGTACCTACCAGCTGCCTGGGCTGGAACAACGCAATGACAGGGACCCCCATTTCTCTATGATCAGCTCAATTATAAAGCTCTTCTTTGCACTGAACTAAAAAGTGCCTCCTGTCCTTCCATCCATCAGCTGCACAATGATAATGTTCAGGCCTGGTAGTTACACTTTTAAAGGTGCACATGAGAATTAAACTGGAGAGCCCTTAAAATGTTGGAAACAGCTTTCATAGTCCCTCTGTGCACCTCTGGCTTTTACAACTGTCCTGCTTTTTGATATGTCTTTCTAGCATCATATGTCTGACTATCCTGCTTCCCTCGCCTGAACAGGCTCTAAGTGTCTACTAGGAAGCGCTCAGACAGGCAGGGAGAAAATCTTAAAATCGTGGAGTAGCTCTCTCTTTCTCCTCCCTGGGCCCTGCAGACTGGGGGATGGCTAAGAGCCCTGAGCGCTGCTCACCCTGGTGGGCCTGTGTTCCTCTCCCCGTTTCCCTGTGGTCTTGTAGGGCACCCCGACACCTGCAGAATGAAGTCTGAGTTCCAAGATGCAGCATCCAAGATCCTTCTAATCCCCCCCCCTTTGTGGGGGGGGGGGCTGTCCTCTCTCTGTGGTGTGCTGTCCCCATCCTAACCCTTCACTTCTCCAGCTCAAATCCCAACCCTCCAAAATGTTTTGCTGTCATCCAGGACTAAAGATCACCCTCTTCCTCTCACCCATTTGGGATGAGGTGTCTGTGGGGCGGCCCCCTTTCTCTCCATGATAATCTCCTCCAGGGCAGAATCCCAGTCCCCATGGTGCCTGGATTCCTGGTATGCAATGACCAGGGATGTCTGCAGTTTAAAGTAAGGGTCAGGAGAGGAGGTGCCCATTCCGCCTGCAGCCTCCGGGGACTGAGCTGGGGAAAGGGAGGACGGCAGCCACCGCTGGATCCCGCAAACACCCTGTTTGGCCAGGTAGGGCTCCACTCCTGGATGCTGCCACTGTGCAGCACAGCCCTGCCCACCTGGGGTGTAGGAGCAGGAAGAGATGGAGACAGCTTCCTTCCAGAGAGTAACCGGAAGCCTGGAGTGAGGTGGAAAGTGCCCAAGGTCTTGCAGAGATGGAGCCAGGCCTAGACCTTAAACTTCTTGCCCAGCCCAAGCCAGCCTGCTCAGACCATTAGGAGATGCCAACCCACATTTCCATTGTCCTGTTCTTCCGGAAACTGGCCTTAGCAGAGCCCTGGACAGGTAACAATGATGGTTCCTTAATCTTGTGAGGGAGTCAGAGGGGTGAGGTATGGGACATTGTGGGGTGGGGTGTGGGACATTGTGTGTTGAGGGGGGTCTCTTTGTTCTCCACCCAGATCCACTGGCTAAGGGGGGAAGGGAGCAGGT